ACGAAGTACTACTGTATGTACGAGCAATTTGCAAGTAAGGGGAATATTTATTGAGACGTTAATTCTTAATGAAGTTAGGCTTATCATTAATTACGTGGAACTTATGCAAATTATAAAAGTTGTAGTCGAAAAAATAAAGTGATTTTTATTAATGTTAAGTGGACTGGAAGCGAGATCGAAAATTCGCAAGCAAGTATGATTTTTTTTTGTTTTAGCACAAACGAAACAATAGACAATATGTGTTCTGTCCGCCACTGGGGAAAATAAGAAACAATGTTAAGAAGATCAAAAATAAAGAGCCAAAAAATTAAAGAAGATCTAGAAGAAAGGTACATAAAATGAGAAGAAAGAGCCAGAAAGTTAAAAGATGGTCACGAAGGAAGGGATGAGAAGTGCAAAGAGGAACTACAAAAATGATACATAAGATTTACATAAGAAATATGAACAAATATTAATTCACCTGAAAAAGCACTAGAAAATTTAGAGATTGAATTTTGAAAAAAGTTACGCGAGATTATATATAACATTAAGAGTAATGAAATAAATAAGGACATCAATGAAGTACAGAATGACTCAGTAAAGTACAGATGGATTATAACAAAAATATTAAAAAAAGCAGTTGGAAATATACAGAATTATTCTAACAACAACGTCAACTAAGTTCAAAAGGCCATGAATGCCATAAAAAACACATATAGAAACTGAACTAGCAAATGCAAGAACTAAAACAATCACATCTCTGTTTAAATCCGCCCAAAAATTTTAACATCAAACACCACTAAGTATGAAATATTAAATGGGAGAACACATCTGGTCTACACCTGTTTACAGCTACTGTTGATTGCAGGACCCTTCTGAACTACGTCAGCTACACCTCTACCTCATCGATTGACGGAGTATATTAGTACACTTCAAAAATATTGCCCAATCGAGAAACCGAGAAATGTAATGTAATGGTATCACGCGAGGCATATCAGGCGCAGTTTGAAATAACTTATAGAACCAGATTTATTGGCATTAAGCAAGCTTTCAACAAGCAGTCATAACAGTCACCAGGCATTAGTGGTTGCCTTATCAGATGGATTTGAGATGTTACATCAAAAAGTTTCCAAATCAAAGTTTAGGAGCAGAATAAGGAGGAAGGACGAGATTTTAGCTGAACTTATTGAAGATGTGGAAATGCTTGCTCAGTTATCTTACCTGGATACTCCACGTGAAATGATCGATTTGTTGTCGCGTCATCAATTCAAACGTGTTATGATAAACGAGGATGTGTATCAGGTTAAAGCACAGTAGATGCACATCTTTAATTGATGCTACCTTGCTGGCAATGAAACTTGCGTCAGTTAAAGTCACAGATAAACAACTAAAAGTACCGTCCATCGACAGATCAAGTACAGAAGAAACATTCACTTTCTCTTTGATTAAGAACTCAAAAGTTTTATTGGAAGACTGTTTACTCATAATGGAAAAATAAACCACGGGACGGAATGTATTTAAATCGCAACTTAAAAGGACGTACTGCCAGGAACTGCAAACAAAAGTTTTCAGGAAATAGAAACTGCCCTCAAAGATAACAGGAAAAGGAAACTGCTATAAGAATGAAAAACATGGGCATTGCATCCAAGACTGTGATAAGTCAACCATTGATAATAAATAGAGGAGAAAATATCCTGAAATGACATCATTCCCTCTGCATCAATTGAGATAAGGAGTGCAATACTAAAATAAACTAGTTTATGAGTCACTGGATTCATTGACGGGAAGCTTGCAACAAGGTTATGGCTGTACTGCTACTGCGGTATTCTCAGATAAGCTGTCTTCCTCGTAAGTATTAGATAAATCCGCTTTAATAATGGAAGGACCAAGCAGGAAATTTTTTGTTGTAACATGAATTTAAAAACTCGACTGAGTTATAAGTTGGATAAGAAATAAACAGACTGGACACGTTTGATGGAAACTGAAAATATCAGTATTTATGACACAATAACAACACCAAGAATAAAAATCAGCGTACGTCCTTGCATAGACGAATAGACAACCACCTCTAGTGGATAAGTAAATAGATCTATAGAATTCTGTCTTTCGAGTGTTGAACTAATCACGTTAAAAAACCAAGCAAAAATGAGCGAGAACTAAGATTCAGATCTTGCAAGAATATTTATATTCTTTATTTTACGATGGCGTCACCGCGTGATTGTTCACTGTCTCACAACATTCCGTGGTTTGAAAATACTGACATCACACGCTCGGCCAGCAAAAGGAAATTTTCGCGGGAAAGGTAGGTGTTATCTAATATTAGAGTGACAAAGATACTAAAGCAACTGGAACTGAAAAATTTAAATGTTTTTATGGACTATGTTTTTATGCCAAATCTACATAGAAACAGACTACGCTGAAAAATAAGAAAAACATCTACATTATTAAAGATGGTGGGTTTGTTTTGTTTGTTTTGTTTTGAATTTCGCGCAAAGCTACACGAGGGCTATCTGCGCTAGCCGTCCCTAATTTAGCAGTGTAAGACTAGAGGGAAGGCAGCTAGTCATCACCACCCACCGCCAACTCTTGGACTACTCTTTTACCAACGAATAGTGGAATTGACCGTCACATTATAACGCCCCCACGGCTGAAAGGGCGAGCATGTTTGGTGGGACTGGGATTCGAACCCGCGACCCGCAGACTGCGAGTTGAGCTCCTTAACCACCTGGCCATGAAGATGGTGGGAAAACGTATTATATGCAATCCACATAATATGCTCATATATCACATTACCTTTATTGTTCGACCTAATCTGGTAGCGAAAGCTAGGAAATTGCCTGAAATTATGAAGCAAAAAGGTGCAAACAGGAAGTGATAATAAAGGTCCAGAAAAATAAAAACAGGAAGTCAGCATTACCGTAAAAAGCTCCTTTACACAACATGATGTGAGGGTAAATGACATAGAGGAAGAGTATATGTTGAGAACAGACTTCATGCAGAAACAGATGTCATTAGACTACTTTTAGATAGTTGCACAGACTATGACCAGAAATTCCTGTGCGCTTCACGATAATTACACAACCAGAGGTTGAACATCCAGTGATAACAACGAGGGTAACATAACAGACAAATAACCTAAACTACAAAAGAAAAGAAAGAAGAAAAACAGATGTCATTAGACTAGTTTCAGATAACTGCACAGACTATGACCAGAAATTCCTGTGCGCTTCACGATAATTACACAACCAGAGGTTGAACATCCAGTGATAACAAGGAGGGTAACATAACAGACAAATAACCTAAAATACAAAAGAAAAGAAAGAAGAAAAACAGATGGTCCAAGTCAAAAGTTATCTATTGTGATCGTCTTTGGAAATGTGTCGGTGAAACATTGACCAATTGGATATTTTCAGAAAAGTTTTCATCAGAAGTAAGCCAGCGTGATAGAGATATATAGGTGCTGTCGAGATCACTGCCAGCGTATCAACAGAGTTGAAGCTATCATTGGATTCCCTTGACCGTCTACCTGAAAAAAACTCCTGAAGTGACATGACAACTAGTGTTGATAAAGGGCAAATATTAAACACTGTAATTAATATAAAAAAGAAAAAAAAGACAAAATTTACAGATATAGAAGAAAGATACATAAGATGGGGGAAAAAGTCTGTTTTGAATTTCGCGCAATGCTACACGCAAAGCTAGCCGTCTCTAATTTAGCAGTGAAAGACTAGAGGGAACCCGTCGCCAACTCTTGGATTACTCTTTTATCAACGAATAGTGGGATTGACCGTCACATTAGAACGCCCCCACAGCTGAAATGGCGAGCATGTGTGATGGAAGGGGGATTAGAAACCCCGACCCTCAGATTAAGAGTCAAGCACCATTACCACCTGGCAAGAAAGTTAAAATATGGTCAAAAATAAAGAGATTGGAAGTGCCAAGAGGAATTACAAGAACGATATACGAGATTTACATACAAATTATGAACAGATATTAATTTAACTGAAGAAGCCATAGAAATTGTACAGATTAAAGTTGAAAAAAATCATAGAGATACATAAGGTTTGATATAACATTAGCAGCAATGAAGTAAAGTAGGGCATCAATAAAGTACAAAATAACTCAGTATAACAAAATAACAAATATGTCGAGATATAACTTTTTACTATAAGCCCTGGAAAAGAAAACCAACAAACAACTAACAAGATAGAAACATTTGTTTTTTAATGCCACAGACATAAAAAATTAGTTATTTGTGAAGCTAAGCTTATCTTAGCTATGTGGAACTTGTACAAGTTCCAAAAAAAAAAACGCTTTCATCACTAACTGTACTGAACTTTCCCATTACATTTTTACCAAAAAATCTGAAATAACTATTATGTTTGCATAATGTTTTTGTCAACTAATTAATTTACTTTAAAGCTGAAACATAAATAATATTGTTATTGCTGTTTATTTAAAACACATATATATAAGAACTAACTGAATATAACTACACAGACGTCAGAAACAAACCTTTTAAAGTAAACAACGAGCTTTATCCTTCTAGACGACATTTTTTAATTTGTATTTACATGTTCGTCTTTGGTGTTTAACAAATACTATAAAACGGTCTGTTTTTGTGTTCTTATCATCTGTGATTGGTATACTAGGTAGGTATAGCCGAAATAAAAACTGTGTATTCAACTGAATCAAAAGAACAGGCTGCACTTAAAATGTTTATGCATAACTACTTTTTCTTTATATATATATATGTTATTTCTTCTGCCCGAAACGATAACATTTAGCTCTACGCAATAGCATTTCTTCGACATTATTTGGTCTCTACCTGAGAAAAAATTAAATTGGAATCGTATTAAAGTGCAAGAAACCTCGAAAGTAGTAGCGAAAAGACACCCAGAGGCCTTTTAATAATGTGTAGGTGTTAACCTTCTTGTACATGTGGTACAAGAAATTCCGGTACTGACGAGGTTTGCACACGACACTCAACCAAGTTGTTCAGTAGTGTGTCTCCTCGCTCATATATATACGTACAGCAAAAGGAGGTTGAACACTTGTTGAACTTCAGACGCTCGATCAATAGGATTGCAAAAATCTGTGTTAGAATAAGGTCACAAAAGTTTGAAACTTATCACTTTTGTTACATTTCAACCATGCCGAGTTGTCCTAAATGTGATAAACCCGTTTATTTTGGTAAGTAACTTAGTTATTTGTCTATATAACGACGCCGTAATTATACAGAACTTTTTCGAACTATCCATACATACACACACACATACACTTTCGTGAGGAAAATCATTAGTGACGGTTAATATATATTGGATAAAGTTCAGTGGTGTAGGACTACGTGGGACAATTGCCTCAATGTCCGATATATGAGCACTGAAAGACCCACCAGAAAATATGCAAGTTTTATATAAAAGGAGAAAAATATATTAAAAAACGAAAAAGACAAACATTTTTTACAAAGATAAGGTTGTGTTTTATGTCTGCGATGAATTGTTTTATTATAATTTATAATTAGATAATTAAACTAAACACGTTCTTTTGAGTTTATCCTCACGATATTGTTCGACATTTCAACAGAAATACAAAGTATTCATTTGTTTATTTTTTCCTGTTTGTTTTTATCTTGACAGTAATTCTAAAGTAACCACAAGGAGCACAGAAAGTCATATCTTATTTTCTGTTTTATATTGCATGTTATATTTAGAATCGTGTTTGAAATCGAGTCTTAAAGATATCTCTGAATTGTTACTTTTTTATAGATTCTACATACGTAGCTAACACTCAGCTGTAAATAAATATTACTATGAAAATCACAGTAACAGCTTTGGATAGGCAACTAAAAACAATTTTCTGACACCATACCATACAGCCCCCAGTGTGTCACAGGGGGTATGTCTGTGAACTTATACTGGTAGAAACCAGGTTTCAATACCCGTGGTGGGCAAATCACAAATAGCCATTTGTGTAGCTTTGTGCTTAATAACAAACAAAAAATACAAACCATATCACACAACGTTTCATCTCTAAACGGGACCTGGTGGGTCCTCGTGGCTATCGTGCCAGACTGTGAATCTGAGGGTTCCCTGTTGGCGTTCCGTTACTATAAAATCATGATCCGTACTCTGGATTTATAGGTGCATTATAAGAGTGACGTTCAAATCCCACTATTCGATTAGAGTAGCCAAGAGTTGGCGGTGAATGCGGTTCATCAGCTGCCTTCCCTCTAGGCTATCAGTTAAAAATTAGGGACGAATTGTGCAGATAGCTCTTGTACAAAGTTTTGCGAATATCCTAAATAACCAAACATCTTTAAGCAAGATATTTTCAAGTATAAACACAAATAATACATTACAACTGTTAATTACAAATAACTATCTTACAATACTTTAGTTGGGGAGAAAATTTCATTAGTATGAGAAAAAAAAGGAAACCTGGATATGCATTCATTGATGGATGCGTTTTTCTAATAAGTAATCCTCCTGAGACTTTTCTCTTGGGCTAAGAAAAAAGGGAGGAGAGGGTTGGGGTCTGACGAACTCATTCTCATTGGCAATTAATTTATGTACAAAACAATTAGTTTAAACCGAAGACTCAGTTTTGACAGCTAGAAAAAAATCAACACACATTTACTCTCCAGATTATAATAATAACTTTATAAAATAAAATAGAAATGAAAAGTTTATTATTATTATTATTATGTGAAAATTAAAGGACGTTTTCTTCCTATTTTATTGCAAAAATGTCCAAGTCCCTCCAGTATGTACTACAAGTTCCGAAGACCTAGTTGTCAACATCTAAATAGTATGTAAAGACGGTTTGGTGACAAGCTAGATATCTAAGATAAAGTATTAAGAAAATTAGACACTGGAACCTGATATATTGCCAATACTTCCTTAAGGTTTATAGCTAATACTATTGTAGTGTACAAATAGGTTTGATATTATTTTTAACGAATAAAATTACCTTCATGTTACAAGTTGACATTATTATTGACATTTCTTTTACTTGTTGACAGACGTGCAGCCAACAATGAATGTATATGTAAGTTTCGTCTCTTTGTACAAAACAGAGAACAAAATATTTCTGTTTTAAAAAGATATTTTACAAGAAATATGTCATTGAAAATATAGTATTCAATCGAACATTTTATAATTAAGTCACAATTAAGGCAGCATCAAAAGCAAATCTGAGTTCTTATTAACACACGTTTATGAAAAGAAATATTTTGGTTAATAAAGATTGAAAAAAATGGGGGTTTAATATTGAATCACTATTTTAAATTTTAACTTCTTCAGCTCCAGATAAAATCCCGCTGTGAAGTGAAGTGAGATTCACACTGCTTGGTACGTGGTTTGTTAAAGCTCAAAGCTTCTATTAGCGTAAAATACATTACACTAAATTTTTAAAAAAGCTGATGATTGAAGAAATAGATGAAAAGAGGCAGAATTTCTCATTCATTCTGTTATGACAGAAGAATACTTTTATTATAAGAATATTAAAAAAACAGAAATCCTTAAAATTACTGAAGAAAATGTTTAATTTGAATAACTCATCAAGATCATTGGAAATTTCGTCACTGTAAAAAAAAACACCACAAGCACAAACACTTTGATTTTCTTATTATTTTAAAACTTATTTTTTATTTGGATGAAAACTATTTCCTACAAATAAGTTTCGTTCTATAAATGATTAGGAACATATCAGAAACATCAATCATGTATTTTCTCAGTACGTCACATCCTACCACTACAGATATTTTAATGATATGTCTTTAAATCACACTGAAAATTTTCTGCCTTGATGTTCTTTATTGTTATCATTTCTAATAAAAATTAGATTAATATTTCTAACGTGTGTTCAAACAGCTTTGTGATAATCAGATTACCTTGAATGTTGCCCATTTTGATGTTGGAAGTAAATAAAACGTTGTATAGCTGACTTATTCTCAAGTGACCCTCGAAATAAAAAAAACAAATAAAGAGAGAGAACAAGTTTAAGCATACAATAATTTTGTATTTATTTTTTATAAAGTATTAAAGAATCTGTTGAATAACATTACGAAAATAAAAAAGATTCTCATCCACTAAACTTTTAGCTTTTAAAGCGTAGTTTCACGGTATTTTCAAATGATTTCTCTATAATTAAACCCAACGAAGACATTTACTTCTAAGTCATCATGAAGATTGTATTTTAACAAGAACAACTAAAATAGCTTTTCACTTCTGGTTTAGATAAAGGAAGCAAAAATGTCTGTACTCGTGTTTTTAATCATTGCATCTCAGATATTGTTGCAAGGTATTCAACTCCACCGAACCTTTTTCAGGATGTATTAAACAAACTACATAAGTTTTACATGCTTTTCCCTCTCACTTAAAAAGTGTTAACCTTATTGAAATTCTGAACTCACACCTGTTTACATAATACCACATCATTACTCTTTAGGATACACTTTGTCAACTTTTAAGTAAATAAGCTAACTTATACGACGCAAAATCGGTTCTTTTTTTTATTCTTCTACAGTAGAAGAATAAAAATATTACT